ACTGGGAATTTTAGTTTTGAAATGATAAGAAAAACAACTAAGCAATGAAGACATGCTCTTTAACCAATTCTCAGGAACGGAATGTTGGAAATTATTTCAAATAAACAAATTATTTTAATAAATGTTTTTATTCTAAAATAATGCAAAGGCTATTTAATATTTGTTTAACCGCATGGAGCTAATAAAGTGGGATCGGAATCAGTGCACGTTACTAGGCTAAGCTTTTATTTCTCCACTTTAATAGCATCTTAAAACTACCTTCTATTTAAGTGACAACTTCAGTACCTTTTTAAAAACAGAGGTACCGTACCTAACATTCATTTGATTGGACCACATCACTTTATCAATTTTAATTTAGATTTAAATAATTCAACTGCTACCTTTTCATTGATCCATGTGGACAAAGATACGGTACCTTATGGATACCATAGAAACTACCTTCTATTTAAGTTGCTTACTTAAGCTCTTGTGAAGATTTACGAAAAGGAACACTTCAGCCTTCCCAGCTTCTTCTTCCTTACAAAAGATAATACTCCTGCCATCATTTTCTTTAAAAAAAAAAAAAAAAAAAAAAAAAAAAAAAACTACGCCAGTGCACTACACAATTTTGATACAAATGGATTTGGCATTTGCTATATTTCTCCTTTATAATAAAAGCTCTCTGCTGGATTACAAATTTGGATATATCCTCGTAGATTCTGTGTCCGGCTATTAGCCGAAGGGCTCGTTATATCCTGGAGAAAGATTTCCGTCCACCGGAAATACTTTCTGAGGACAGCGTTTACGCGTCTCGAGCCATGTTATTTGTTGTTATTTTCTTTTGCAGAATCATACAAACTACTATGCAAGAAGAAAAGAGAATAGCCGGACAGGAGCCTGATCGAGTTTTCATGTAGCTGCAAATTATCGGAAATAAAGAAAGAAGCATTTTGCCGGAATGTTATGTGTCTGTCGGCCGGAACTGGACAATGAGAAGGAGGTGGCGATTTTTCCCCAACAATCTCAGAAAGTATTTCGGACGTACTCCCAACGTTATCGTCATCATGACTAATTAATTAAAGGCTCGGTCCAGAAAAGCTTTGCATTATTTCGACATCTGGTAATTCCATTTAGGGAAAATGGAAACTAATAATCCAACCTTTTAGTGGTCTTCTTATAATAGTCCCACCTTTTGATTATTCATGAATAATCCAACCTTTGCACCTCATCTTCATTCACTGGTCCCTGACCGGTTGATGACCTGTTATTCCAAGTTATTTTCTTATCTTTGTAAACCATTATACCATAAATCTTACCTTTCACAAAGATAATATTTTGTAAAGATAAGAAAATAACTTGGAATAACAGGTCATCAATCGGTCAGGGACCAGTGAATGTGGTGCAAAGGTTGGATTATTCATGAATAATCAAAAGGTGGGACTATTGTAAGAAGACCGCTAAAAGGTTGGATTATTAATTTCTATTTTCCCTTCCATTTATAAGTTTTAATTACGTATGGTCGGTATGAAATTAATATATCTTGGAGTATACTTATTAATTAGTGTGCAGGATTCTACCTACAGGTGTACTTTGAGAATGATTATATATTCTTTGCTTACCTTGACACTTGTCAGCCTTAATTTAATCCCACTATTATTATAAATGCAGTTTTGATAGTGATAAAAAGACAACTACGAAAAACAACACTCCACTAAGGTCAAGTTTAAACTTGATTAAAAGTGATGATAATTTTTTGTGAGGGAGAGTTCCCGAAATGGGACTAAAAAAGTTCGAAAATTCCAAAATAGGACTGTCATGTTTTTATTCCCAAAATAGGACTAATTACTGCCAAATTTGGAAAATACTGCCATGTTTGAAGTCTGGTACTGCCAAAACATGTCAGTAATTAGTCCTATTTTGGGAATAAAAACATGGAAGTCCTATTTTGGAATTTTCAAACTTTTTTAGTCCCATTTTGGGTAATATCTCTTTTTGTGATTGTTTCTCACATTTGTAAAAACAAAAGTTCTTTAACCTCCTATATTAATATAGGAGATGACAAATACATGTTCTTTATCTAAAAACGACATGTTTCATGTGCGTGAAATTCAAGCTAATTTGATTTCCGTTTCGGTTCAGGAAAAAAAATTACTTTTGTTTGTGGCAAAATTAATAGATATGTGAATTTTTTTTTGTGGGTAAAGGCTATTGAGAGAATGGATTTTATGTGATTAATGTTTCTAAATTATTGCATGATAATGCTCTTATTTGATTGATTCGTATAATATGGTAAATTGGAATGCTTTAAGATTTATCACATAAATTGGAATGCTTTATTTTTAACATTTACTTTAGATTACTAATTATGGTAAAATTGTTTGGTATTCTCGTGATTGGGTTTAGTAGCTGTGAACGATGATAATTAGATTAATTACTACATGTGAAATTGTACTTATTAACAGCTTTAAGAAGCTTTCTCATGTGAAATATACGTACTACGTATATTTCAGTTCTAGAGTTTGTAGAAATTTTGAGGCTATTTCGCATGCATGGAATTTCCTGGATTTGCTACCAAGTGATTTGAGTGGCTTGATCTTGTACATCTATCTTCTCGAACTATACTAGTATGTACGTTAGAGTTATGGAGTGTTGGTAAATTATACTCCAGTATTTGCATATGTGAATAGTTTACCTAAAGCTGATATATATACTTAGCTTGCGTATATTTTACATTTACATATCCATGCTATCGAGACATGTATGCTTACTGTGATTTGATTTACATACTGCGTGAAATGCTTTACTACTCTGACACTCGTGAATGTGTTTTAAATAAAAATCATGTCTTGGATGTGGTTACTTTTGGTATATGCCTTACACGATTCAGTCATGGTCTTTGCACCAATCTGTAATCATTTACAATGTGGGGGTCGGTTACTCCAACTAATTTCAACAACTTTGGCATTATTTGTGGTTACTAATATATGGTTTTCTTACCACGTATTTTGAATAAATAGTGTGTAACACTTTAAGCTATATGATTGTTAAGATTAATGTGATGAATTTTCTTTAAAAGAAAATGTGCATACACTAAATGATGAATGTGTGATTATTTGTTGCTGGGATTTTATAGAAATGCTGGGTAAATTGTACTATCCTCCGTCTGTTTTTAATCGCAACATGTTGAATTCTACTTTGACTACATTTTATATTATTATTTTATGAAAATTATTTTTTTTAAATTATATTGTTCAATTCATCTCATTACAAATTTTCAAAATCTAATTTTTAAATATTTTTTACTAATAGGGATTAAGATATAATTACGGTCAAAGATGTGCGTTGACAAGTGTGAAATGTTGACCGTTACAACTAAAAAAGAACGGAGGAAGTATGATATTCATATGACCTTTCTCCCGTTTGAAAAATCATAGGGTGATTTTGGATGATTACTTGGTGTATTGCCTTACGGTACTTTATATATCATGGTTTGTCCATGAGCATCTAACTATATACTACGTACTTCGTATAGTATACTTCATCTTATTACCTTTTAATGAGAAGGTAATAAGACGTACTGAGTTGGAAGTCACACAAGTGAAAATTAATGTTCGTTATGAATATTAAAAAAATTGACTGTGAGTCTGTTAAAAAATAACAAATTCTGTGAAACCCAACTTAATGTTGGAAGATAAAATTGAGCAAAATTGTGAAAACACAAAAAGTGTATTTGGTGAGCTAAATCATTGTATCAAGAGATACAATGATGAAATATTTTGTTGAAAATCATCCATTGTATTATAATGATACAATGATGTTATATATATTTCATAAAGTTTTCAGTTGTGCTAAATGAGTACAACGATGACACATTTATCGAGAATTATCCGTTGTACTAGAGTGATACGACGATGTTATATTTGAGTGCTATCCATTGTACTATAATGGTATAATGATGTTGTATATTATATTGAGAATTATCTGTTATGATATAACATGTTAGTAAAATTGTACGATGTATTCGAGTGTCACATCGATGATACTTCTTATTGAGAGTTATCCGTTGTATTTCCGGAATACAATGATGTCATCTGAGTCGATTCACATGAGATAAAATAGTGGATATCCATTCACCCTTAAAAGTGGTGCAATGGTGTTTGAGAATGGAATCACTCCATTAATTTTGTGAAGTTAAAAGGAATTAGCTACTCCTTTGATAGAATCCCTAGGACGTTAAATATAATGATAAATTTAAACATCGAGAGAAATGGACTGATGTCACTTTGACAACAAATAGGGATGAGAATCCAACTTCTGTGATTGGAGATCCCATGAAACAAGTTCAAATGGGTAATAACAAATCTTCTATTTGTTCTGCTAGTCTTGTAAAATGTCCATTTCTATTATGTGGAAGAAGGCTAGACTGCATTTTTTGCGAGGTTGAGGCGTTGAGCTAAAGCTCTTAATGATTGTCATAGCCCTTATGGGTGGTGTGTTAAGTGCGGGACACACTTGATGAGGTCACCTATATGAGTGTGAGGTGGGGCCGCCTCTATGAAGCATTGACAACGCTTTTAGAGCACTCAAGAAAACCAGGCACGCGCACGGCCGGAAGGCGCACCACGGCGTTAACGCGAGGAATTGTGGGGAGTGAGACATGACCATTAAAACCCTGATTTACCATAATAGCTTGTTGGTTCATAGAAACTATATGTTTCACCAAAAGCTCGGTTTATAAAGACTTATTAATCGTCTCGGTTTGGTTCATAGTCTACGGATACCAGACTTAAAGTCTCTTTCCCGTTAATCCAGCAGTTTTTCAGGACTACTTATAAAAAAAGGCCTTAAATGTTTATTTGAAATATGTGGGGGATTGTTGGGAATTAATTCAAATAAACAAATTATTTTAATAAATGTTTTTATTCTAAAATAATGCAAAGGCTATTTAATTTTTGTTTAACGGCATGGAGCTAATAAAGTGGGAATCCTGATGGATGAATTCTAAAGTAACGGATCAGTGCACTTTACTAGGCTAAGCTTTTATTTCTCCACTTTAATAGCATCTTAAAACTAAATTCTATTTAAGTTGCTTACTTAAGCTCTTGTGAAGATTTACGAAAAGGAACACTTCAGCCTTCCCAGCTTCTTCTTCCTTATAAAAGATAAGATAATACTCCTGCCCTCATTTTCTTTAGTAAAAAAAAAAAAAAAAAAACTACGCCAGTGCACTACACAATTTTGATACAAATGGATTTGGCATTTGCTATATTTCTCCTTTATAATAAAAGCTCTCTGCTGGATTACAAATTTGGATATATCCTCATAGATTCTGTGTCCGGCTATTAGCCGAAGGGCTCGTTATATCCTGGAGAAAGATTTCCGTCCACCGAAAATACTTTCTGAGGACAGCGTTTACGTGTCTCGAGCCATGTTATTTGTTGTTATTTTCTTTTGCAGAATCATACAAATTAAACTACTATGCAAGAAGAAAAGAGAATAGCCGGACAGGAGCCTGATCGAGTTTTCATGTAGCTGCAAATTATCGGAGAGAAAGGAAGAAGCATTTTGCTGGAATATTATGTGTCTGTCGGCCGGAACTGGACAATGAGAAGGAGGTGACGATATTTTCCAACACGGAATGTCAATAAAGTACGGAGTATTATAAACTTCTATTACACTAGCGAGGTTGTGATTACCTCTACTTGTAAATCGCGTTACGATCTATATATATATATATATATATATATATATATATATATATATATATATATATATATATATATATATATATATATATATATATATATATATATATATAGATCTAGATATAATCTTATTGTAGATTAGGATATTGTATTATCACCAAATTCAATTGATATATTTGTGTCTACAGTATGAATATGTCTCATCCTTAAGTGCGCTACTTATAAGACAATGCTAATTGCTCAAATAAATCCAATGGTGTAATCATACATTGCACAAGATATTCATACATAATAAAAATATAAAGGAAAGATCATAAAAATGATTCAAAACATACATAAAAACTTCAAATGCCTAAAGTTTCATCTCTAACATTGGTTAGGAAAATTTAGCAACTACAACTCATAATGAAAATACAAGTATTGAAATGCATAAAATGAAATAATACATAATTGTTTTTATCGTGTAAATATTAAATAGTGACAGCTGACCAATGTGGCTCACATTGTGTCGACTTGCCACATGTTTTCCCTTCTCTTCAATCCAAAAAAGTGGATTCACTCATCCCAAACACTCTTGCACTTCGAACCAACAGAATGATGTAGGAGTAAATCACAATATATCACAAACCATTTTTAGTGAGGTGGTTTAGAGCCTGGTGCGCACAAGGAACTTCTACATTAGATGACTTCGTGATAATATTTGAAATATTTCAAATTAAGAGTTTAGGAGTTTCAGGGTAATGTGAAAAGAATTCAAATTAATACGGAGTACAATATAACCTTAACTTGATTAAAAAAGACAAACTAAGGACATGTTTACTTCACGGATTACTAAACGGTGATTATTAAGACTCGCGTTAATAAGTGGCGCATAGAATAAGCAGTGTTGTAAGCTCATGTCTACTTCAAAAGATTTAAAACACTGTTTAACATTAAAATGTCCAAAATAATCCTATATATACACACACAAACATTGATGAACACAAGTATATAATATAATATGTGGGGGTTGGGGTGGGGTCGGGTGGTAGGGGTTCATGGAGTAGGGTCTGGGGTAGGGAAGGGGGCACGAGTGAGGGTGGGGGGTATGGTCAGGTGGGGTCAAGGTAGGGGAGGTGGTAGGGGGAGTAAAGGGTTAGAGTCAGGGTAAGGGTGTGGGGTCGGGTTGGGGTCGAGGTAGAGGCAGGTGGTAGGGGGGTAAAGGGATAGGGGTCGGGGTAGGGAAGGGGAACCCGAGGGGGGGGGGGGGACATCGGGGTAGAGTCAAGGTAGGGGCCACTGGTAGAGGTTAAAGGGGTAGGGTCGGGGTACTGTAAAGGGGTACGAGTGGGGTGGGGTATGATCGGTCAGGGGGTAGGGTAGGGGGCATCTAGGGTGGGGTCAAGGTAGGGGCAAGTGGGGTAGGGCCAAGGTAGGGTAAGGGGGTAGGTAGGGTAAGGTAGGAGGGGGTCGGGTGGGGTTGAGGTAGAGGATGAGGGTAATAGGGGGTTGGGCCAGGTAGGGTAAGGGTGGGGGTAAGTGGGGTGGGGTCAACGTAGGGGCATGTGGTAAGGGGTAAAGAGATAAGGTCGGGGTAGGGAAGGGGCACGGGTTGGGGGGGTCGGGGTAGGGGCAAGGTAGGGGGGCGGTGGTAGGGCTTGGTCGGGCTAGGGTAAAGAGGTACGTGTGGGGTTGTGTATGGACGGTCGGGGGGTTAGGGTAGGGTAGGTGGTAAAGGGTGGGGGTGGGTGGGGTCAAGGTAGGGGAAGGTGGTGGGGGTGGGGTAAGTGGGGTAGGGGTAGTTAGGGGGTAAGGGTGGGGTAGGGTCAGAGTGGGGTCGGGTGAGGTAGGTAGAGGGGTAATAATAGGGTAAGAGCAAGGGATCGAATAAGGGTAAGGGTAAATTCGGAAATTGAAAAAGCTTAGAGTGCCGCTTAATTAATACATGGGAGGGGGTATGCCTAGTAAGAGCATCTCCAATGCAATTCTTTTGAATGGAGGTAAATTTTGCCAAATGTCACTCAAGTAAAGTAGTGTTTATCCACATAAGATACACATTAAAAGAAATCAATAAGAGGTGTCCAATGCATGATGTTAACATATGTAGCATTAAATATTATCTACTTGTCTTTTAATGTTAAAACACACGACTAGAGAATCCTGGGCAGCCATATCATACGCCATTGCAGAAGATCACATTTTTTTATTTTCTTCTTCTACGATTGTACCATGAAGCCAACACCTCTGCATAATAAATTTTGATTAATTTAGGAAGCAAGTATTTACCTTGATTTATCAAATATACTCCCACAATTAAGCAAGCAGCAAATTAGTGATAAAAAGTGCATGTCGTTAAAAAGAATTCTCACCGGAAGACCTGGATAGGAATACTTGGGGGAGACACAGATAGAGGATAGCTTGAGTTTGTGGGTGAGGCGGTAAATTATTTTCCGTTATTCACTTTTTGCAGAGATAGTGGACTTTTTTCGCTGAATTCAGGGAATTGTAGAACAATAATGCCTCCTCCACAGCGTTAAACGAGCTTTCGGAATACCAACAGGGAATGAAAGCGTTGAGACCACGTCAGATTAAAGGGGCTCGTAAAAGAATGGGTTGGAGATTTAAAATTCATCACACTTTTTAAATTGAAGATGTGGCAAATTATTTTAATGTCAAAAGAAGTGCATTGGAGATGCTCTAAGTGGCACTTTAAGCGCCTCTTTCGGTTGGTAAGAAGCATTTTAAGCAGTTTGCGTGTTTACTTTACATGTCTTACTAACCTAATTGTGACTTTAGCAGCGAAGTAAACACCTCCTAAATTTTTTTGGTTAAACTCTAGCATTAAAAATTACTATTGGCCGAGAATATTAATAGGAAGAGTTGGATAGATAATTTGTAAAGTTAACGAAAAGTTAGGGATGCTTCTGGTATGTAAGAGTTTGATAAATTAGGAATAAAGTAATTTTAGTGAAAGGTACAAGTTCATATTACATGTGACTATACCAAAACATTTTTCATACCTACAATGATCTTACCTTCATTTCCTTACTTTCTCTGTCCCTAGATTATGTTCCAAAGTACATTTTACCCAAGAATTTACATAGTGTGTATTATATTTGTGGAGAGTTGTACAGAAGAGAGAGAAATGTCATACAAGGGAGCTAGGCACATATGCATATGCCTAGGGCACCATTATCATGAGGCATGCTTTTTTAAAATAAAACTATTATTGCTATATGTGTGTGTGTTGAGGTTTATTCCTTCAACCGTAGGCCCAACACGTAACCTGTGGGTTTCAAGCAGTGAGTGTATGTGAGTACAGAATAATAGCAAGTAAAATGGGATTAGAGGTATGTGTAATAGTGGGCCGAATCTTATTAAGTGATAAATAAGAGCTCGTTACACACACTAAAGCTACCTGGCCAACGGCCGTTCGTCTGCTTCACAGGGAGAAGAGCTGTGAACACTGCTTAAGAGCTGCTAGAATGCTCGAATGGTAAGGCGGATAAGTTGCCAATCCTTTACAATGAAATAAATACTACTATTTATACTACCAAAGGGCAGTTGAATATGCTGATATGGAGAGCACTGGTTGGATGGAGTCTCAACCACCAAATCTCCAACATTAAATGCGTTGCCCGCCAGAATCTTGGTTCCCGCCCAATATCTGGAGACGAGCGTCTCAATGAATCCTGGACCTTTCCTTGATGATACCACAAAGGGTGGTAGGTCGTACCATTGTTGTAGGAGTATGCTGGCCAGCCTTGGGCTAGGACTTCTTGGGCTGAAGGCCCGAGGTGGAGGCGTGCATTGCCGCCGTTGCCATAGGTCTGGATGTATAACTGCCATTAGTCCAATGGAGAGGTTCGTCTCCATTGGTGTAGGAGTATGGTGGCAAGCTTTGGGCTAGGACTTCTTGGGCTAAGGGCCCAGCTGGGTGGAGACGTACATCGGAGCTGCCTTGGGCCCCAACGCTGATGATGCCACTAAGGGTAGCGGGTCGTACGTCTTCTGGCTATTGACGTACTCCTTACGCTCGATGACCTTGGGTCTCGAACCCTCTAGGTTGGGCACCCACAATGGAGACGTACGTCGTTGATGCCATGGGCGTCCCAGATGGGGATGTTCGTCGGTGGTGCCTTGAATTGTGATGGACAATCGTTCTTGGTGCCTTGGAGACGTTCGTCTGCACTCGACACCCCTGTTGGGCTTAGACGTTGTCCATGGAGGGGTTAAATGGGTTGATCCTCTAATTGGGCCATTAACTCAATAATGTGTATTGTGCTCTGGCTTCGTAGCAGGAGCAGTCAATCTGCAGGTATAGTCTACTTTGCGGGATTAGTGATTCGGCATTTTCAATTTGAATTGTCTGTCTTTATGTCTCATCACATTGTGGCCTTGAGTTATATGATTGTAATTGTCATTGTTATCTTTATCAATAATAATTAAGTTATTTCCTTTAAAAAAGATTGTTAAATTTATTTTTTCAAAATTGTACTCTTACTTCATTCATTACAAAATATTCAGAATTTTGTAATATAGCTAATTATAATTTAGTACTGCATTATTTTTATCTATAAATTTTGTTAAAAAAAATTGATAAAAAGTATCTACATTCAATAGTATCACTTGAAAAAAAAGGGAAAGTTCCCGAAATAGGACTAAAAAAGTTTGGAAATTCCAAAATAGGACTGTCATGTTTTTATTTACTGTCATGTTTTTATTCCCAAAATAGGACTATTTACTGTCAAGTTTGGAAAATGCTGCCATGTTTGAAGTCTAGTACTGCCAAAACATAGCAGTAATTAGTCCTATTTTGGGAATAAAAACATGGCAGTCCTATTTTTGAATTTTCAAACCTTTTTAGTCCTATTTTGAGTAATATCTCGATAAATAATTGGTCTAGCTATAAATTTAGTACTTACCTTTAATTGTGGTAAAACTAACAAATTTTACACTTCAAAAGGGAAGAAGAAAATATGTATGGAGATGAATATATAATAGAGAGTAAACAAAAGATCAGAGTACTT